TCTACAGGAGAAAGATGGAAAATTTTCTATTTTGCCTCTGAAAATGCATTGGAGGATCAGCTATCATCAATTTAACAGTACAAAACAACAACCTATATAATCAAAAACCAGTAGCAATGAAGGAACAAGTTCAAGCTACAATGAAGGCATTGGCTAAATACATACATACATACATACATACATACATACATACATACACACATACATACAGCTCTAGGAATTGACAGAATACCAGTCAGCATGTTTCAACAAACCGATGCAAACCTGGCCACACGTTACTCTATGCCCACAGACTGGAAGTGATTCATATTTTATTTCCAATCCAGCAAAAGGTAATCCAACAGAGTGTGCAAATTATCAAATAATATCATTAGTTAACACACAAATTAAAAATGTTAGTATGTTAACTAATGATATCACTTGACAATTTCAATTACGTTAGTATGTTAACAATTTCAGCTTGCTTGGTTCCACAATCATCACTCCTGACATCAGAAGTCAGGAAATAAAAAAGATTAATTTCATTGGGAAAATCTACTGTCAGAGACTTTTCCAGAGTACTAAAGAGCAACAATGTTAGTCTAGAGACTAAGGTGCACCTGAACCAAGTCATGGTCTTTGCTATTACTTGCTATGCACCAGAGAGCTGGACAATAATTAAAGGCGAAAGAAGACAAAGAATTGATGCCTTTTAGTTGTAGTCCAGGAGAAGAGTATTAAATATACCATGGACAGCCAAGAAAACAAACAGGTTTGTCTGGAGAGGGTGAGACCAAGGGTGCTGCTTGGAGGGAAGGATTCTGAAGCTTCATCTCACATACTTTGGAGGGACTAGTCCTTGGGAAGGACTTCATGCTTGGAAGGGTGGAGGGACAGCACAAGAGAAGAAGACCCTGGCTGAGATGGATTGACTTAGTGTCTGAAGTAATGGGAGAAAGTATGTCAGAGACAATGAGATTAGCTCAAGATATGGTAGGGTTCAGAGCTATTGTACATAGGCTCACTATGAGTTGCAGGTGACTAGATGGCACACACAACAAGATTATTAATATCACAGTCAAGTAAAATCTTGTGAAGATGATTATACTTTTCTGTTCTGTATGCCTTTTATTTGCCTCACTTGACTGACCAGGGTATTATAATGCTTAATAATAGATATGACAGCAGATATACTTGTACTGCTCACAGCTTTAAGGACAAAAGCAATCAGCTTTTCACCATTTAAGTGTGATACTGGTTGTAGTGGGGGTGTATGTGCTTGCTTGTGTGTGTGTATGTGTGAATGCTTGTGCTTTGATCAGGCTAAGAATTTCTATTGTATTCCTCTTAAAGAGATTTACTATAAATGGGTGTTAAAAGAAGATAAAAAAATACTGAAGCAAATTCAGTAATACTCTAGTGTCATTTGATCTGGGAATAGATCCTAAGGAAATCAGAGCAGAGAGAGACATGAGCACACTCATTTTTATTGCAATATTATTCACAACAGCAAAGAGATGAAAACAACTCAAATGCCCATCAATGGATAGAGAAACTAAGGTACGTTCACACAATCTATTACTACTTGGCACTGAAAAACAGTGAAGAACTTGTGAAATGCTACACAACATGGATGAGTTTAGAGATCATTATGCTCAGTGAAATCAAATACAAAAGGGAAAATACTGTATAAGATCACTGTTAAAAGGGGCGGGGGGGGGATCAACTCTGAACCATCACAAGAGCAAACTAGAAAAGGTTTGCATATGGAACTAATCAATCCAGCATTCAAATACATGTTTGGGCCTAGGAGTAGGAAATGAATGGATGGGTAGACAATGAATACTTTATTGGAATAGGTGAAAGGAAAGACAATGTGAAATTAATGAACAAACACTGTTTATTGTAATTAGCAATGTGGAACAGGATATGTATGACTCATTGGATAAAAACTAAGGAAAGGTCTACGCACAGAAAAACGGTGGAGAGTTGACAGGGATGGGAGGAAGGGAAAAGGGAGCAGAGATTAACTGATGAATGAATAGGTGAAGGAAAAGTTTACTGAGGATTTGATGAAACGTTGCAATAAATGGCTTCAATCAAACATAATCAAGTGTCACAAATCAAAATGTATATGAATGGTTGAATGAAAAAAAATTTTTTTTAACATGGTGTGAAGTCAGAGAATGAACAGAAATCAGCTGTCAAGTACCTTTCCAGAGTGGTAAAGAGAAACTACATCAATTTATAGACAGTTTGGCTAATTCAAGTATTTTCAATGCTTTGGGAGGCTGGGCTCCATGAGGAGAAATGAGGCATCAAGATTAGTGGAAGATCTATCAACAATCTGCAATATGCAGATGACACACAACCCTGCTTGCTGAAACTGAGGAGGACCTGAAGCGCTTGCTACAGAAGGTCAAGGACTGCAGCCTTCAATAGGATTGAGGCTCAATGTCAAGAAGACAAAGATTCTCACCACTGGACTAATTGTCAGCATCAGGACGGATGGTGAAGAAATTGAGAGATTGAGATTGTTCACAGCTTTAGTCGGCTTGGCTCCACAATCAACACTCTTAGCACCAGCAGCCAGGAAATTAAAAGACGTATTGCAATGGGAAAGTCTGCTATTAGGGACCTCTCTAAAGTACTGAAGAGCAACGGTGTCTCTCTGGAGACTAAGGTGTGTCTGATACAGGCCAGGGTCTTTGCAATCACTTGTTATGCGGCAGAGAGTTGGACAATGACTAGGGAGGATAGGAGAATTGACACCTTTGAGCTGTGGTGCTGGAGGGTACCATGGACTGCCAAGAAAACAAACAGATTCATCCTGGAAAGAGTTAAACCGGGCGGCTCCCTGGAGGCAAGGATTCTGAGGCTCCGTCTAACATACTTTGGAGATGTTGTAAGGAGGGAGAGGGACATCATGCTTGGGAGGGTGGAGGGCAGGCGCAAGAGAGGAAGACCCTCTATGAGGTGGATTGATTAAGTGACTGGGGTAATCGGGATGGCAGTGTCAGAGTCAATGTGATTGGCACAGGATAGAGCAGAGTTTAGGGCTGTTGTACATAGAGGGTCGCTATGAGTCGCAAGCAACTCGACGGCACATAGCAACAACAATGCACTTACAAGTTGGATAATAAATAAGGAAGGCTGAAGAATCAATGCATTTGAATCGCGGCGTTAGAGAAGAGAGAAGAGTACGTGGATCTCGGAAAGAAGAAACAAGTGCAGGAGGAAGTAGAACCCGGATGCTCCTTCGACGACAAGGATGCTGAAAGTTGGTCTCACATACTCTGGGCTTGTTTTCAGGAGGGACCAGTCCTTGGAGAAAAAGAGATCATGCTGGGGAAAGTGGAGGGTCAGAGACCCTCAAGGCGATGGACTGAGAGGGTGACCGCGCGAGCACGCAAGAGGTAGTGAGGATGGCACAGGATGGAGCAAGGCTCTGCTCTGTTGTTTATACGGCAGCGGAGTCGTGGTCGACTCGACGGCACAGAAGAACTGATTTCTTTCCTAGTGCACATCACATCGCCAGCCGGCATCCCGTTAATGCAAAGGGAGAGGAACAGTGCTTGAGTGCAACGATGAGCATGAGATTTAATCTGCGTAATGAACTTCGTCAGCTACTGCATGCCCGCGAAGCAGCGGATGTACGGAATCAACCGCCAACATGGCGGCGCCCTTGCTGAAGCCACGATATTGGCGCTGCCATATTGTCGGTGCAAAGGCTTCTCTTGACCGCCCTCGGGAATCGAAGCTGACAGCGTCTTCGTGGAAACAGCGCCGAGCGTGAGGATTTATTGCTTGGCAATGTCGAGGACCTAGAGGCGGTATACGGACATGACTGACAAGCTGGCAGCTGTGAAGGAAAAGCCGTGAGGTTTCCTGAGAAGGGTCGTCCCAGCCTCTGTACGGAACCGATTTTCAAGATGGCCGCGTTTTACGAGCTCTGGTTGGGGGGACTCGAGGCGGGAGCACCGCTTGTTCGCTGCGCCGCGCAGCCACCGCCTCACTGAGCCTGCGCGGTCGCGTACGGTGTCCGATTGGCGCGGCCGAAGCGGAAGTGGCTGTCGGCGCCTTTGCAACGGGCGAGGCCGCCGCGGAGTGGTTGGGGCAGCGCTTCCCGTGACCGGCGGAGCTTCCGAGGGGGCGCGGCGTTGTGGAGAGATGGTGAGAGCGGGAGTTGAGAGCGGGGTGGAGCTGTCGAGGACGGCGGGGTTGGTAATGGTGGGACGTGCCGGCGCCTCGGTGGGGTCTGTGGGCAGCGCGAGGGCAGCGTCTGTGGTGAGTCTCGGACCCGGGCCGAGCGGAGGGGGGCTTGCGGTGGGCGTGATGACAATGCCGGGGTGCGCCTGGACGTGTCTGATGGGAGGTCAGTGGGGGTCCTTGGTGAGAATCGTGACCAGAGCTTCTTGTGGCAGCGGGTTTTGGGGGTTTGTGATGAGCCCGTGTTAGGACGGCCTGGCGTGGGCTCATGGGCTGAGGGTCGAGGGTCTTGGGGGGCGGGGAGTCTGCGGGGTCCGGTGCTGGAGTGACCGGGGGGGGGTCGCTGGGGCAGGAGGGGCGCTGGCCGGGGGTCCCCCGCGAGCAGGTGGTCCGTCCCCGCGGTAGGGGTCTCCAGCCCGGGTCGGGGTCTCGGACGCCCCGCGGGGGGCTCGCTCTCTCCGAGTTGGAAGCGAGTCGATGGCAGTGAGTTGAGTGGAGAGTGTTGTTGGAGGGGACTCGGCGAGTCCAGCCAGGAGTGGTCAGGGGCTTGACTTGGGGGAGGTCAGGGGGCAGGATGACGAGGGGTTCCTGGGCAGAGTCCTGGGGGGGCGATGGTGGTCAAACGCCCTGGTGGCGCCATTAGCGAGGCGGTGCTGACCCCAGAGGCAGTAGGTGCAGTGGACCCGCGGTCCTGGTGTCCATCTCGTCGCGTGCGGTTTATTTAGGGGCTCTGAAAGCCCGGTGGAGGGTCAGCCACAGCTGACCGGAACCTGCTTCCCCATCAGTGACGATGAGTGAGGCCTGGGGCCCTAATGGCGCCGACTGTCAGTGACAGGAGCGAGGGGGTCTGGGGGAGAGAGGTCCTGCTGTACGTTGATGTCCCACCTAGTGGACACTGACCCCGGGCTGACCCTCCAAGGGCTTTTCAGAGGAGAGCAGCTGGTGGATTCGAACCCCCCGACTTTGGGTGGGCAGTGCAATCCCTTAGCACCTAACCCACCCGCACTCCCTCGTGGGTGGAGAGGGAAGGGGCTTAGACACAGAGTCTTGGGGTGCGGGAACTCGGGCACGGTCCTCAGCGTGTCTCCGGGAGTTCGAATACACCCGCGGCCCCTGGGGGAAAAGATGGTCAGTCTCTTCTCAATAAGGTTTAAAGCCTTGGAAAGTCACTGGAGGGTTGCTAGGAGTTGGAATCGACCGGATGGGAGTTGAGTTGAGTTGTTGAGTCATTGGGGTGTCAAGAGTCATTGGGGGGGAGGGGAAGGTGTCTGTGAGGCCTGTAAAAGAGGTATTTATGGGGTGAACTAGTCAGCCTGGGCAAAGTGATGGGTATCCATGGTGAGTCACTGATGGGCTGTAATCAGGGGAACTTGGCACCCTGTTGGGGGTTCCCTGAAGAGCCATAATAGGGGATCCCACAGGAGGGCGATGGTTCAGACCCAGAGCAGCAAGATGCTGGAGATGACAGCAAGTCAGAGAACGGGGAGAACGCACCCATCTACTGCATCTGCCGCAAGCCGGACATCAACTGCTTCATGATGTGAGCCCGGGAGAGGCGAGGGTGGGCTGATCCTGGCGGTGCTGATGGAACGGGGCCCTCACCTCTCCTCCGTCCCCCACCCCATCCTCCGCAGCGGCTGTGACAACTGCAACGAGTGGTTCCATGGGGACTGCATCCGGATCACCGAGAAGATGGCCAAAGCCATCCGGGAGTGGTACTGTCGGGAGTGCCGAGGTGAGGGAGGGATGAGCAGGGCAGGCAGGTGGGACTCCAGAGGGCTAGGAGGAACCAGAATGGAGAGCCCAGTGTAGGGACAGGAGATGATGTGTTTGAGGAGAGGGTGGTTATTGGCATGTGTTGAGGAACTGGGACTCCACCCTGAGCACTGATACAGGTTGATACAGCGTTGATACAGGAGAGAGCAGTTCTGCCTAGAGCAGGTGGGGAATTAGGTAGGAAGAATAAGAGAGTGTCCCAGAACCACTCATCCTAAGCTCCTTCGCCTGACCCACTCTGTGAACCGCTTTGCAGAGAAGGATCCCAAGCTGGAGATCCGCTACCGGCACAAGAAGTCACGGGAGCGGGATGGCAGCGAGCGGGACAGCAGTGAGCCGCGGGATGAGGGTGGAGGGCGCAAGAGGCCTGCCCCGGACGTGGACCTGCAGCGACGGGCAGGGTCTGGGACAGGGGTTGGGGCCATTCTTGCTCGGGGCTCTGCTTCACCCCACAAAGCCTCTCCACAGCCCTTGGTGCCCACACCCAGCCAGGTGAGTCAGTGGTGGGCAGAAAGGGCAAGGTGGGTGCAGCCTAGCCTGCGTTCTGAGCTCCATTCTCGGCACCTTCCCAGCATCACCAGCAGCAGCAGCAGCAGCAGCAGATCAAACGGTCAGCGCGCATGTGTGGGGAGTGTGAGGCGTGCAGGCGCACCGAGGACTGTGGCCACTGTGACTTCTGCCGGGACATGAAGAAGTTTGGGGGTCCGAACAAGATCAGGCAGAAGTGTCGGCTACGCCAGTGCCAACTTCGCGCTCGGGTGAGCATGGGTGGAGCTGGGCAGGAGCAGGGTGGCGGTCCTTGGGGTGGAGGGCATAGTGTTCCGGAGAGATTGGTTGAGTCTAGGCACGGTTGGGCTGGGTTGTGGCCAGTCAGGTGGGAAGGGGCCTGGCATGTACAGATAGAGACCACATGATCAGATGTATTGGACAGCTCTGTGTATGCTTGAGTGTTGAGTGAGGCCAGGTGGGTGGTCAACCATGAGGAGGCAAGGCTGAGTTTATTCTGGTGAGTGAGTGGGACCAGAAGGTGCCTGGGAAGGTTAGGCAGGACTAGATGGATGGCATAGGGACATAGGGACCGGTTAGGGTATGGTCTCTCCCCATCTATCTGAGGCTGACCTGAGCCTTCCTCCTGGCACAGGAATCGTACAAGTACTTCCCTTCCTCGGTGAGTCCAGTCCCCCAGGGCCAGGGCGGGGCATGTGGGCTGGGCGGTCAGGGCCAGTCCTGAGATTCTGACCCACAGCTCTCACCGGTGACGCCCTCTGAGCCCCTGCCAAGGCCACGCAGGCCACTGCCCACCCAACAGCAGCCACAGCCATCACAGAAGCTGGGGCGCATCCGTGAAGAAGAGGGGGCTATGGTGTCAGCAGTCAAAGAGCCACCTGAGGCAACAGCCACACCTGAGCCACTCTCAGATGAGGACCTCCCGCTGGATCCTGACCTGTACCATGACTTCTGTGCGGGGGCCTTTGATGATCACGGTCTGGTGAGCAGGCAGGAGCATCTGATGGTGGAAGGGTGGAGGCTGCAGAGCAGAAAGAGAGAGAAGGCAGAGGGTATGGAAAACTGATTTGGGAAACGAGCATGTGGTGGCCTTGTCATGAGTTGGGCAGAGGGATCAGAGCACGCTCTGCTTGCAGCCCTGGATGAGTGACCCAGAGGAGTCTTCATTCCTGGATCCTGCACTGCGGAAAAGAGCAGTCAAAGTAAAGCATGTGAAGCGCCGGGAGAAGAAGTCTGAGAAGAAGGTGATGGAGAGGGCGGGACAGCAGAGGTCAGGGGCTAATAGGGTGAAATGGTGGGTCTGGGACCAATCTGGACGCCTCTTTGATGGGACCTACCCTGCCCCACAGAAAGAGGAGAGATACAAGAGACACCGGCAAAAGCAAAAACACAAAGACAAGTGGAAACACCCGGAGCGGACTGATGCCAAGGACCCTGCAACCCTACCACAGTGCCTGGGGCCGGGCTGTGTGCGCCCTGCCCAGCCTGGCTCCAAGTATTGCTCAGATGATTGTGGCATGAAGCTGGCAGCCAAGTGAGTCATTTCAGGGGTCAGGGAGTAAGGGAAGGGCATGACCAGAGCCATCTAAACGTCTGCGAATCAGTAACCCATCTACTATTCACTCACCCAAACACACGTTTACCCATCTGCCCACTACCCCATCCATTAACTCATCTATCTGTTCATCTGTCATCAGTCTCCTCTTTTCACCTTTTGCTCACCCATCCCACCATTCTGCCGTCCTTTGATCCCCCTCCACCTTCTCATCACCTTGCCTGCACCCCACCCACTGCCTCCCTGCAGCCGCATCTACGAGATCCTGCCCCAGCGCATCCAGCAGTGGCAGCAGAGCCCCTGCATCGCTGAGGAGCATGGCAAGAAGCTACTTGAACGCATTCGCCGCGAACAGCAGAGCGCCCGCAGCCGCCTTCAGGAGATGGAGCGCCGCTTCCACGAGCTCGAGGCCATCATTCTGCGAGCCAAGCAGCAGGCTGTGCGTGAGGACGAGGAGGTGAGCAGCATGGGTGCAGTGAGCAAGGCCCAGCCTAGGGCCACATCATTGCTCTCTCCACCCCAAACAGAGCAGTGAAGGTGACAGTGACCACTTCATTGCTCCTTCCATTCTCTACAGAGCAATGAAGGTGACAGTGACGACACAGACCTGCAGATCTTCTGCGTCTCCTGCGGACACCCCATCAACCCACGTGTTGCTTTGCGCCACATGGAACGCTGCTATGCCAAGGTTGGGATGTCAGTCTGAGGGGGTGGGTGAATGGTGTGGGAGGGGATATTAGGCAGTTCCTGAGGGGGCAGATCTGTTGTCTGGGAAGGCCTGTAGCCACATTCAGTTCCTTCCCTTTGTGTTCATCCCTCCAGTATGAGAGCCAGACGTCTTTTGGGTCCATGTACCCCACACGCATTGAGGGGTGAGTGTGGGTATCTTGTTAAGGGGGGAGTAATGTGTGAGTCAGGAGTAGATTGTGGGCAGAGCTGGATCCGATGTGGTCTGGGTAAGGTTAGGTGGGACCTCGCTCCTCTCCCTTACCACTCTGTCTCTGTTCCAACCCAGGGCCACTCGGCTCTTCTGTGACGTGTACAATCCTCAGAGCAAGACATACTGTAAACGGCTCCAGGTGCTATGTCCTGAGCACTCACGTGACCCCAAAGTAAGGGTTCCTTGCAGCTCCCCTCCTCCGCCCCCCTCCCTGCTGTACTACCCCACTTCTCCTTCCTTCCCTTTCCTACCTAACAGCCTTCACATCAGTCACTTTATGCCTCTCCTTTTCCTGTCTTGATGCTTCCTATTCCTGGGTTTCCTCCTGCATCACCTTCCATTTTTCTTCTCCTTCGCAGGCCACCTTCCAATGCATTCTTCCTAGCCAACTCTCGTTCTTCTTGCTTAAACTCAGTCCTTCCTGAACAGTCACTTCTTCCTCCTTTGTGATTGGAGTCTCTTCTCCCTCTCCTCTGCCTCTTCATCTTCAGTCTTTCCTTTTCTCCCTGCCTCCAGTCTCCCCTCCTTCCTGCCTCACTTCTCTTCATTCCTTCCCTCTCTGACCACCCGCTCCTATGCTCCTCTCCCTGCCTTTTCACCCTCTGTAGATCCGCATGCCCGCTCTTCTTGCAGGTGCCAGCCGACGAGGTATGTGGGTGCCCCCTCGTACGTGATGTATTTGAGCTCACGGGTGACTTCTGCCGTCTGCCCAAGCGCCAATGTAACCGCCATTACTGCTGGGAAAAGTTGCGGCGTGCTGAAGTAGACCTGGAGCGTGTGCGTGTGGTAGGTTTAGATGCTGGTGTGGATGTGATGAGGGGCAGACCAGGCTTCAGGAGGCCTTTCTCACAGCCCCTTTCTGCTCTCGGCAGTGGTACAAACTAGACGAGCTGTTTGAGCAGGAGCGCAATGTACGCACAGCCATGACCAACCGGGCCGGTTTACTGGCCTTAATGCTGCACCAGACGATCCAGCATGACCCTCTCACGACTGATCTTCGATCCAGTGCTGACCGCTGAGCCTCAGTTGCCCAGGCCCTTTCACACTCTGCGTTTCAGGCAGGAGGGCCACTCTGAATCACCCATGTGTCTGCCTCCATTCACCTGTTTTTCTCTGAGGGTCCCCGAGTTTCTCTACCATCCACTATTTGACTTCTCATTGCATTTCCCCACCCCTCTCTTTCCTTCTGTCTCTCCATCCTCTGTGCCTGGGTGGGACCACAGAGTGTGGCGTCTTCTTACCCTGAGTTTTGTTAATAAAATTTGGAAAAACCAACAAAGACAAATCTGATGGTCTCCAGTCTTTGGTCTCGGGCTTCATCTGTGCCCCCAAACCCCTAGGGGAAGATGGACAGAGTGACACATCTGTACTTGGGAGTGGCTGCAGTACATGCGTGGAGGGTAACCGTGCATTTGGCAGTGATTCTGTGCTCTGTAGGACTCCTTGAGCTGTAGGGATTAGACTGGACCAGGAAGAGCCCAATGTTCATCTTCTCTCAGTTTGAGACCATATGCAGTTAGCATTCATTCAATGCATGGCATAATTGGGATAGATGGAGAAACGAAGGTGAAGTCAGCAATTTAATTTTACTTGGATCCACAATCAACATCCCTGGTTTGGAACAATCAGGAAATCAAAAGACATCTTTGTTCAACTGGGAAAATCTGTCAGTATCCTCGCCAAAGTGCTAAGAAGTAGCAGAGCTATCAGCTTAAAGACAGCGTGGTTCCTGATTCAAGCCCTGGTTCTCCTGATTCAAGCCATGATATTTTCAGTTGCTTCCTATGTCTGTGAATGGATGATAAAATAAGGATGACAGAAGACTTGATGCCTTTGAATTGTGTTGGTGAAGAATATTGAATATACCAGTGAGCGTCAAAAGAACAAATCTGTCTTGAAGGAAATGCAACAAAAGTCTCCTTCGAGGCACTTATTTTGGGCTTCTTTTCAGGAGGAATCAAATCAGTCCTTGGAGAGAGACGCCATGCAGGTGAAAGACCCCAATTTAGGGCTTTCCTTGGTCAGGCATGGCCCCAGGCAACTCATACCAGAAGCACTTGATGCAAACACATGAGGCTTTTATTGGCGGAGCTCTGGGTCGACTTGTATCTCTCACAGGAGACAGGGAAGTCGACCCCGAGCTGAAAAAGCAAGGGGTTTTTATAGAGGGTCTAGGGGCTCTTCGGCATGGAGATTGCTCATTGGCTCTTTGGAAAAGCAGAAGTTCAATTCTAGGTCAGCCATCTGCTGCTGATGCTAGTTAAGATATGGTTTTTCCAGTAATTGTTTTCAGTTTGTGGTCAGCTAGTTCCTGGAACATAACCGTTTACACAAGATCAAAAGTATAGGTTCTTACAATACTTGGGTGTGGGGACATTGTTCAAAAAATTTTCCTTTCATTTCCCTCTTCTTTTTGTGCAAGGTTCTGATCTTAGAACCAAGAATCTTGGGTAGCAATGGCAGTGGGTTTAAGGTCTGTTTCTACATCCTAGTCTGCAGGGGCTCCATGGGTTAACTTGCAGAGGTCAGGGTACAGATCCGGCTACCAGGTCCAAGGGGTAGCGATTGGCTGCGGATTAGGACTTTATCTCCAACCTGGAAATTATGCGGGAGGGGAGGCAATTTGTCATTATAAATTCTTTGAAGTATTGGCCAAGTCACCTTCTGGGATGTTTCTAATGCTTTTAAATGAGTCATCAACGACACAGAATCAGTAAAGCTGGCATCATTATACTTTACGTTTACATTAGTAAGTGGGGGTGGCCTCACATACATGATTTCATAGGGGGTAAGTGAAAGGATCCCTGGGGTGTTCTGCGCACGGAACAGTGCGAAGGGAAGGAGAGCAATCCAATCTTTTACGCCAGTCTCAATAGCTATTTTGGTTAAGGCCTCTTTTAGAGTTCTATTCATCCTTTCTACCTGACCTGAACTCTGGGGTCCATAGGCACAATGCAATTTCCAATTTACCCCCAGTTGTTTGGCCAATCCCTGACTCACCTGGGCAACAAAGGCTGGGCCATTGTCTGACCCAATTACCTTGGGTATCCCAAACCGTGGGAAAATTTCTTCCAAGATCTTCTTGACTACCACGTTTGCAGTCTCCTGCTTGGTTGGGAATGCTTCGACCCATCCTGAAAAGGTGTCTACAAACACTAGCAGATACTTACAGTTATAAATGGTGACTTTTACTTCAGTGAAATCTACCTCCCAGTATGCTCCAGGTCGATCTCCTCTCAGTCTTTGTTACAGGCTGACTCAGCAGCAGTCTTGGCATTTGCTAAGGCACAGGCTTTACAGTTTTCTACAATTTCTTGAACGATTTTACTTAATTTTAATATTCGGAACTCAGAGGTTTTGATGAGGGCTTTTAATTTCCTTACTCCTCAGTGGGTCAGATAATGTATCTGCTTCACGTACTCTTTACCTTCCTTCTGAGGAAGAACTTTTTTGTTCTCTTGGTCTATTCTTGCCCCCTCTGAGGTTTTTATTGGTTAATCCTAAGCGAGACAGTTCCTGTTCATCTTCTTCAGAATACTGAAAACTAGTATTGGACGCTTGGGGCCACCAGAGTTCACAGATGTTAGTAGCTAATGTTGGGATTCTCTCTGCTGCTGACTTGGCGTCTTCATCCGCCATCTGGTTCCCTTTAGCTACAACATCTTGACTTCGCTGGTGCCCTGGACAGTGCATGATGGCTACTTTCTTCGGCAGGTGTATAGCATCTAACAGTTCTAGGATTTCTCCTTGTTCTTGATTTCTTTTCCTGCTGAGGTAAGAAGACCTCGCTGCCGGTAAATGGCCCCATGGATATGGGCTGTGGCGAAGGCATACCGGCTATCTGTGTAGATGTTTATAGTCTTTCCTGCTGCCAGTTTTAATGCCTGAGTAAGGGCCACTAGCTCGGCTTTCTGTGCGGAGCTCCCTTCAGGTAGACTGTTGGCCTAAATGACTTCCTTCCCGTCCACCACTGCCGCCCCGGTGACCCGCTTACCTTTTAGGTCTTTCTGGGTGCTGGTTTCTTCTGCTTATCACAGCGATGGCAGGGTTCCAGGTCCCCTTCCGCAGGCAGCAGGGTCGCCAGATTTGACTGGGGCTCCAAAGGTCACCCTGTCCGTGAGGAGTAGGCTCTGATAGTGAGTCAGGTGGGCATTAGTCATCCATCGGTCAGATGGTTGTTGAATGATGCTCTCTAATGCATGAGGGGCTATGACAGTGATATGCTGCCCCATGGTCAGTTTGTCTGCATCTTTTACTAGGACCGCGGCAGCTGCAATGGCCTTCAGGCAGACTGGCCAACCACTGGCCACTGGATCTAGTTTCTTGGACAAATAGGCCACTGGCTGTTTCCAAGGTCCTAGAGTTTGCGACGGCACACCTTTAGCCACCCCGCCTCTTTCATCTATGTATAAGGTAAATGGCTTGGTCAGGTCTGGCACGGCGAGGGTGGGAGCTGAAAGCAAGGCTTTCTTAATGTCCTCAAAGGCCGTCTGATGTTCAGGACTCCAGGTGAATTGTTCCTGGTTTCTGGTTAGAGGGTACAGGGGGGCTGCCAACGAGGCATCTGCTTTTAATTCTAATACTATTGGTGGAGCATTTTTTAGCCATACCTAACCCCCCTGTTTCTGCCCAGGCTTCTGGGAATTCTTTTAACTAATCTATGAGGTCCGAATCTTTAGCTTCTGTCTCTGATTCATGGAGCCTATATTCTTCTTCTAGTTGAACTAATAGGGCTAGGGTGCTGAGCTTGTTGTTTTCCCAGGTAACTTCAGGCCCCCTTGGAGTGAACTGAATTTGGGCTTTCAGTTTAGTTAGGAGATCTCTTCCTAAGAGTGGGGCTGGGCACTCCGGTATAACAAGAAAAGAGTGGGTCACTTGATTTTTTCCTAGATCTATAGTCTGTTCCGTGGTCCATGGGCAGAATTTTTGTCCAGAGGCCCCTAGCACCACGACTTCTTTGTGCTAATCTTCCCTAGGGGCTGCTTCAGAACTGAATGTTGTGCCCCCGTGTCTACTAGGAAGTTAATGGGGGTCCCCCCCACAGATAAAATTACCCTAGGCTCAGGGAGGGTATCCGAGCCCCGTCTCCCCTAGTCCTCATCTCGGGTAAGAATTTTTGACGGCTTTTCTTTTTCTTGGGACATTCTCTCGCCTAGTGTCCTTTCTCTTTGCAATATGCACACTGGTCTTTGTCCCACTGCCATTTCTTTTCGTATCTTCTGGGTTCCTTAGTGCTTAGGTGCCCTGTCTGTCTAGGTCCTGTCCTGCTTCTCTCTTTCTCACTTACTACTG